AACACTTCCAGGGATGGGGCACCCACAGCTTCTCTGGGCAACCTGTTTCTGTGCCTCACCACCCTCACAGTGAAGAATTTCTTTGTATCTGACCTAAACCTACCCTCTCTCAGTTTAAAGCCATTAGCCCTTGTCCTGTCAACTCCCTGCCCTTTTTAAAAGTCCCCTCCAGCTTTCTTGTAACCCTTTCAGGTACTGGAAGGTGCCGTAAGGTCCCCCCGGAGCCTTCCCTTCTCCAGGCTGAACAAGCCCAATTCTCTCAACCCCTCCCCATAGCAGAGGTGCTCCAGCCATCAGAGCATCTTCGTGGCCTCCTCTGGACTCGCTCCAACCAGTTGATATCCTTATGCTGGGGGCCCCAGAGCTGGGGACAGTACACCAGGTGGGGTCTCACAAGAACAGAGTAAAGGGGGAGAATTACCTCCCTTGACCTGCTGGTCACGCTCCTTTTGATGCAGCCTGGCATACAGTTGTCTTCCTGGGCTGCAAGCACACATTGTCAGGTCACATTGAGCTTCCCATCAACCAACACCCTCAAGTCCTCCTCAAAGCTGTTCTCAATCCATTCTCTGCCCAGACTGTACTTGGGCTTGCCCTGACCCATGTGCAGGACCTTGCACTTGGCCCTACTGAACTTTGAGGGTCTCACAGGCCCACCTCTCAAGGTCCTTCTGGATGGCATCCCTTCACTCCCATGTGTTGACTGCACCCCACAGCTTGCTGTCATCGGGAAACCTGCCATACTCAATCCCACTGTCGTGGTGCTGACAGATGTTGAACAGCCCTGGTCCCAATACCAACCTCTGAGGAAGGCCACCCGTCACTGGTCTACTCTTGGACATCCAGACATTGACTGCAACTCTGAGTGTGACAATCCAGCCAACTCCTTACCCACCAAGCAGTCCCTCTGTCAAATCCATCACTCTCCAATTTAGAGACAAGGATGTCATGTGGGACAGTGTCAAATGCTTTGCACAAGTCCAGGTAGATGACATCGGTTGCTCTTCCCTTATCTACCAACACTGTAACCTTGTGACCCATACATACAAGGGCCACCAAATTTGTCAGATGTGATTTGCCCTTAATGAAGCCATGTTGTCTGTCACCAATCACTTCCTTATTTTCCATGTGCCTTAGCATAGTTTCCAGAAGGATCTGCTCCACAATCTTGAGTGAAACAAAGTAAATCTGTCCATCATTAGTAGCTTCATGTCATTTCCAGAGTTTAGCCAAACAGCACCAAAGATCTCCTGAGGTCCTCCTGCATCCATGCTATAGATGAAGATGCTGTTGCACCAGAAGGCTAAGTGTCACCTTAGGAAAACATAGGTTAAAGCCCCAGCATACCTTTTTGTTACTGATCTGACATAAACACAGTCAGGTCGAATTCAAGTTTTAACAACTGCCCTCTTCATAATCCCAGGCTTTTCTGAGTCAATACCTGCCTAGGGACAGGTTGGAGCAGAAATCTTGTTACATGTGCTTTTTCTTCCTCCTGATGTGACCTGGTTTTGATGAAGTTTGAGGCTCACACCCAAACTCAAAGTAAAACTCAAGGGGAGCGAAGCAGAGAGCTCTACACCATAAGCAAACCCATGACAATCCTCCTAGTCCTAACATAGTCTGACAGCAGCAGCGTTCCTGTCTCTCCACACTGCACAGATCCCCTTCTGCAGAAGCATCCCTGCTCCCCAGGCTCATTTAGGAAGCAGCACCACCAAACGAATGCCTTTTCCAGACACCAAAGGGTCAGAGAAAGCACTTTGGAGACATTCAGGTGTCTCCTTCTCTGGTTTCTGCATTTCCTTGGGTCTCTTTCTACAGAAGAGAAGCACTGGTGAGCAGCTGCACTTTTTGGAGCCCATCTGAAATGAATACGAATGCAGCCCAAACACAATCAGCTACACTGGTGACAACAGCAGGCAGGAGATCTGCTTCCTACCAGGGAACCTCCTGTCTCATGTCTGGGCATGAAGTGGGATACTGGGATTTGTCATTCATACAGCAAACAATCTAGCTGGGAGGCCTACAGACAAAATTTCAGGTGATGGCAGCTTTTAACAAGGAACAAGGATTTACCTATCTTTCTCCCCAAAGCTCACTACAGAGTTATTACTTGAAGAGGGAACTGTATAATCACAGGACAGGATTTTTCCTGCTAGCCCAGAAGCAAAACTCTGCACATGACTTGAGACTCCCTACTTTTGCTGTATCATATATTTTAACATCACTTCCTTCCATCATTTTTCTTCCAGCACTGCTATCCCTTATGCTGCAGCAACCATGCTGAAAGCCTCAGTCTGTAGAAGAATCTCAAAAGCAGCAGGTATCCTTGTCAATTAAGGATGGCAGGACACCCTGATAAGTCAGAACAGAAGGCAGAAAGACAATGAGCTAGACTGAAAACTTCTTAGAGTTTAGCAATGAAGATTAAGAAGAAAACAATCCTTCCCAGCAGGCAATATTCCCGGTGCTTACTGAAGCACTGGGGGAGGAAATAAAATAAAACCCCACAACTTTGATACTTCTATTTGTTTAAAGTTCCCTCAATAACACTGCTCCAGGCTGTAATCAATAGGAAAAAGATGCA